GGGGATTTCTGCATCGCTTCAGCTGCAGCTATGATCAGGTTTTTAAAGTTCTCCTTGATGATGGACTGTAACAGTTTGAAAGGCAAACAATTCTGGAAACTTCTGTGGAAGAGAGGCAGAGGGTACACACATGCAAACATACCCCCCCAAATAAACTCCCAAAAGCTAATGACTTGTCTAGAGGACAAAAAGTGAAGTACTACAATCAAGCTTGGAGTATACACTAAAAAATTTATTTGGAGCTTCGATGAAAAGTCCTGTAAATTGAGATTTTATGTTGTTAATTGCATGTGTGTTCTGGGATAATACTGTCACTGCAGAAGGAAGAGCACAGCTTCAACTGTGCTTTCTGTTGAGAAATTCGGACAGCAAAACCAGAAAAAATAAGAGATTTGGAAAAATATTTGTAAAGATTGATCAGCACTGTGTACAAATGACAGGTCCTGAGTTGTTAAGTGGGACTCCTTCACACACAAAAGCTAGTTCAGGAGTCATCTCTCAAGGAATTCTAAGTTCTTTTGAAATGCCTGCTGAAAATGCCAATTTAATTTCCTTTTTTTTTTTTTTTTTTTTATTTCACATTTATATGTAATTCTGTTAAATCCATTTAAAATTGTATTTCATGGTTTTACCCCAAACTCATCAAATATATGTTCATAGTTTTTTTGGGGGGAAATTACTTCCAAAATTTCTGTCTTCTCTCTCTTCCCCCTCACACCCCTCTACTTGCTCATGAATAATACAATAATGTCTTGTATTGGATAATGTATGTTCTCTGAGAGGCTTTGATGTACAATAATGGCTTAGATTATCCATAGGCCCCAGATTATCAATCACAGTACAAATGTCTATGTTGGAGGAAAGTTATTACCAGCTAAACAAATGAGCTTTATCATCTAAAGCTACTAAACTACTAGAGTACCCTTATGCATGACTAGCCCTGAGTTCTGATTATTCACTTCACTGTTTTAGATGCATGCCAAGATAAAATTAACCATAATTTAAGGATGAAATGCTTAAATCTAGGTCCTAATGTAATGTTGGTTTATCTGTTGCTAATATAGTTGTATGTCTGAGATGATGCTGATTGATACCAGCACTTTCTTACAGCCAGTTCTACTCTAGGAAATCCATCTTGTGATCTGAAGAACAGCTACAACTCTGTGCATTCCTGCTCTTTTCATGCCAAAATGAATCACAAACATACACCTTCAATGAAAAGTAAAGATGTTTCCCTTACAATCTGGTTCTTTTACAATCTCAAAATCAGGACTTCCTTTTCTTACTGGGCAGTCTCCTGTCCAGCCCACCCTATGTGGTACTATTCTTTTTGTTACCTGTCTGCAGTTGAAACTGAAATAGAGATGCTAGCTTTCCTCTGCTTTCAGTTTTGCCATGCAGAAGATTTTCCCTGAGATTTTTACACAGAAGGAAGATGAGCAGAACCTGCTGGGGCCACAAAGAGTTTGGATGGGGAAATTTGGAGAAAAGAGGTTAGGTCTCAGTAGAGAGGAAAGCCCAGGTGTAAGTAATAGGTGAGGAGGCAAACTGAGTGGCTAAGGATGACTGAAACTGTGCAGAAACACAAAGAACAGGAACAGAAAAGCAGTGATACAAAGCAGTTTTTAAAAAGGAAATAGAACTGGGCTATGCCCACCATAACTTTGATTTTCCTGAGCCCAGAACAGAACCAAAGATTCTCAAATTTCTCCATGTCTGTGCTTGTTAGTAAATTGCCAGGAAGTCCAGTAATTGTCCTATGGAACTCTGGTTTTCGCCTATGTTAGTGAAAGTATGAGGTATCATTCCATAGTTGTAGAAAACTGCAGTAGAAAACTGAGGGATTCAAAGATATCATCACTGCTTATTACTTAGGCTGTATAATGGAATTTCTGTTTAGGGGTTTGTTTTTGGTGTTGTTTTTTTTTGTTTTGTTTTTTTTGTTGTTGTTGGTTTTGGTTTTGTTTTGTTTTGGTTTTTTTTTTTTTTTCCCCTGAAAAGTTTGAAAGCAATTTTGATTGTAAATATTTTGGATATATCTATCCTGGTGTCATCCCAGACATTTTATAAACCTATAAACACTTCAGTTCCCAAGAAAGTACTATTCTACTTTAAAACAATATGTCAGTTTCTCATAAAGTGCCTGAACTTGTTATTCTGTGTAGGATGTTTTTGTCACAGTGTTACCAAGTTTCCCTTTTGAGAGGAGGCAAACAAAATAAAACTTCTTCAGGGAGATGGGAGCCATCTGCCCCTGTTCCAAAGAACACCAAGGGGATTTCACCACACTTCTGTTTTTTAACCAATGACAGATTGTGCTAGGTCAGGCACCCAGTAATTTAAGAAATGCCAGTGTTTCTGATTCATAAACCTTTCTGAAAATTAACTGAGTGAATATCTGCTGGCCCATATTATTTTTAAAAACAAGTTCAGTGGATCTTTCCAAAGCAAACCATATGGATGTTTTAGCTGATCAGATATGAATCAAGAATAAACATTTGGGCAGCACATTTTAAAGGCAGTATGCACAAATTAGTATGGAGATAATTACTGCTAATTACTAGAGCTGGTCAAGAATGGAATTTTATGTTTTGGACAACAATCTGTATTTTCTGCAGTTTTCCAAAACTGAATAAACCAACACATTTTACAGAATTAAATAAAAACCAGAATTGTGCAAAATCTTTCAGCACAGCACACAAAAAGAATTCTACTTTGTTTTGTACTTCTTTGATTTTTCCAATTTTATTGATTTTTACAGTCAAGATGATACTCATATTTTTAAATATATTTATTATCAATATGATATTATTTTTATATTTTGTGTATTTATACTGAAAATTATTTTTTCCATGTTGAAGAAGTTAACCTAGGTATCTTAGAGCTTTAGTGCAAGGATTTTTCCATGCTTCTTCCCCAATTCCTTTTTTGAAAATGAAGCATTGCTGAAATTAACATATGCTACTGAACTTTTTCCTTTTGTCAAAATGGCATAGCCCATTTAAAAGACATTCCATCATAAAACTCCCAGAAAATCCTGGAATTTCCTGATTAGTTTGACTTCTTTTTTCTTTTTATCTAACTTAGACCTGTTAGCAGATATTTATTTTACAGTATATAGCAACTGCTTTTTATGATTAGCTGTGCTGTATTAATCTCAGTTTCTTTCCTGTATTTAAAGGACCAGTATTCAAATACATATACTAAATAAGAATGGAAGAAACAAAAATTGTTGTCCATTTTGTATATATCCATGTATGATAGCATATATATTCTGGACGGTGAAATATTATCCATATTGAAGTCATGAAGGATTTTGTCATTATCTTTAATGGTACAAAACTTTTACCCTTGGGATGTTGTTTTAGATTTATCTAATGTGCAGAAATCTTTATTATTGATCCATTTAACCCAGTTATTATCATCAGGAACCATATGCACAAGCAGTTCAAAGTTTCAATATTGCAGACCAAATGCCTTGCTTTGCTGTAGGTTCTACTTAAATGATAGTTCATTGTAAAATAGGTTTTCTTTGAAGTATTCAACAAAAATTTAGGAAATTTAAAAAAAATGTTTTCTGATATTTCATTCTAATCCATTGACCCCTGCTAAAGCTTTTAAATTTTCTATTTTGCTAAAGCAAATTAAAAATTGACTGTTGCATCAGAGCATTTAAAGAAGGAACAGGAGTGGAATTTGAATCACGATGCAGAAAGTAGATCTTTTCAAGTGTTATATGCTTTATATATTTGCAAATTAATTATAAGCAGAAAATTTTAACTCAAGTCCATATTTTAAAAATATAAGGTCTGTTTTCAGACACTTATCCAATGTACTAGTAATCAAACAGGCCAACATACATTTACTTGCTTGTAAAAGGACTACAGACAAAGTCCATTTCAATATTTGAACTACCTAAAATTGAGGCAGTCAGTGGTATGTTTTAGGTAGTTTTTTGATACAGGCTTTCTCTGTGAATTTTGTATTTCTGCAGTGTTTCCATTGTCTAGTTCTCAAGGCATCTCCCTTACTAAACTGTAATTCTAATAGCTGGTCAGAGCTATGCCAAACAATCTGACTGTGATTTTAGCTGTTGGCTTACAAACTATGACTTAAGATTAGCAGAAGTAAAGCACAATAATACTGCAAAATAAATATGAAAAATACACACAAGCAAAAGTGTATGTAGAAAACATTCTGCAGAAGAATTAAGCAGAAAGGCAGTCATGAATGAAGAATGGAGGTCTTAACCAACTGACTCTTCAAAAGAATCATCTTACAGGTTAGAAAAACATTGTTTAGAAAGACACAGAAGGCAGAGCTGCCCTTCTGGGTCATGGATGGCATAGGAACATTTGAGGTATCACTTAGAAGTTTGCTCCAATGAAGTCATTGTGGCTATAGTCCTGTATGCTAAAAGTGTTTACTGTTGTGCGAAGCGTCCTCCTGCTAATAGCCTTTATAACATCAGTGGCTCTATAGTAGTTGGGCTACTATACATTTCTCCTCAGTCAAGATGCATTTTCAGTGTTTCAGACTGGCTTATTTAATCATCTTCCCATAAAGTTTGTTACTAATTAGTATATTTTAACAGCAAAGGCCAAGTCTGGTAGGCCCCAAAGTACTATGGTCCAAATACAACAGAAAAGCTCCATGAACATAAGCGAGTAAATATATTCTTTTCTTTTGAAGTGTTTTATATCTGCTGATCCCACAGTTTATATCTAAATGCTCTCATCTTCATCTTGAAGTGGGGTAATTCGGAGAATAAAATGAAAAAGTAATTTGCTCAGCATCACACCACACAGCCAGGAGAAAAATTCTGGTTTTCTGACTTAAAGCTGAGACCCTACGTTACTCAAGTTTGCTATCTTTTGTCTGGTTAAACCCATCATAATTAGATCCATAAAAGGAATGGATAACAAATAAAAGGTCCAGTTGAAAAAAAGGAAGCCAAAAATTTAATACCAAATATGATGGAAATTGCAGTTCTTTCATACCTTTTTTTCATGTGTTCTTGTTGCTTATGTCTGTCCTTCCCATATGTGGCTACAATGAGAAAAGAAATAACTTTAACCTTTCCTGTTAGAAGGTTAATTGTTTTAGTGGTATCCAAGAACGATGTGTTGTGAAAAGATGCATTGGAATTACCACCACAAGGTATTTTCCTCCTACATTTCTAGAGTCCTAGATCATAGAGAGGTCAAGTTGTCATACATTTAAATTAGATTATTTTCTGAGTTTCTGTAAGGAAGTATTAATTTTGAATCAGTTGGTATTTCTGTCATTATTTGTAAGTACAAATATAGTCTCATTTAATCTTTTTAAACAATATTAAAAACCAGTACAATTTTTAGTCTATCCATAGACCACATAATGCAAAAAAAAAAAAAAAATATTACTCTACTGCTTGAGCTTGATACCTGTGCCATTTATTCTCCATTTATTTCACTTTAAAAATTCAGAAACCTTTAGAATTTTTAATGAGTTAGAAGCATTAAGCTAATGGGGGTTTCTGTGTATCTAAGGAAATCCTCTACTTCCACAGATGTAGCATCATATAATCCTGTTAAAAATTTTAAAGGGAACAGAGCTTTTCCTCCTTAACTAATCCTATGGGAATGCACTGCTAGAACTTCCATGTTAAAACCATCTTCCAGTTTTCCAGGCTAAATTTATTCTAGTTAATAAACATTTGTTATTATTCCCACATTTTTTCTTAGCTCACATAGCTGTCTTCCTCCTACATGTTAAGCCTTCCAGCAGGCACTCAGAATTCTTTTGCTCTTCCTTTGCTAGTATCTTTGAGCAAGTTCTCTGTCCTCTTCACTGATAATACACATTTTCTTTCTGATAGTGCCAGCAGCATTCCACTTCACTTGTTTCAGTATGGGTTCAAATTGAACATGGATGAACATAATAGTGGTAGTACACTTAATCACTGCATTTATTCAAGATGTTGCAGGTGTGTTTGCATTCTCTGACAATTCCAGCTAGAAAACATCTTTTCAGTTTTCAGTAGTTTTAATGCTCATCGGGGAACTGCTTATTGAAACATTTGTCTACAGAAGTGTAAAGTAGTTGGCATTTCTTAAGACTGTTCTGAGATACTCGCTTACAAATATATTTGAAAACAAATGGCTGCATCTTAAACACATGCGGGGTTAGGTTTCTAGTATTGAAGTTCATTGTTTCAGTGGAAGATTCCTAAAAATTCCACTACCAGAGTTTAAGTTAGAAAACAAGTATTCATATTCTAAGTGAAAGCTCAGATGGAAGTGAAAACCAAGCAAAATCCTTTCCTTTTCATGCATCATCACCATCTGTAAATATAATGTAATCTCAGTTAGATCCTGAACTCCACCTGTAGAAATTCATTCTTCAGTGAGGTGGCACAACTATAATTAAGGACAGAAATGACTCTGCAATTTGTAATCTAGTTCAGGTCCTCAGTGAGTATAAATCATCGTATGGTACCAGCTTCAGTGGAGCTGTTCTTATTTATTCTTAGTACCTGCCACAGTTCATACGCCTGCCAATACTTCTTGAAAAAAAGGAAAACTTGGCTCACTTTCTCATGGGCTCTTAAGGCTAATGCAATTAAAAAATATATTGTTTTGCTATTCAAGTAAAGAGATGAGACTTGGAATACAAAGCAGAGAGTAGAACAGCTGAGTAGGAAGGTGACATTTGAAGAAGACCACTTGTTCTAGTGGTTCTGTATTTGTAAATTAAGATGTATTATGATCTAAAGTATATGACTAAAGTTATGATTGTGGGATAAATTCTGTGCTGCTTTGTCAGAGTTGTTATTTATCTGCCAACGAGATGCTGTAACATAAGATATCAACCACTGTTACTGTCTGGAATAGCTGCCATTTCTATTCTTCATTATTGTGTATTTTGTGTAACCACTAAATCTGTTGTACTTCTGCTTAGCTGAATTTTTGTCTTACTGGTTTAGTATGGCTGCATTTCACAGAGTACAAGCAATCTTGCACTTTAGATATGTTACATATTTGAAAGAGTATAGGCTGCAGAGGTTATCCCATGAAAATAGATTTATGACTCTACAGAACAAATTCAAAGATGAGAGTTGTTGGATGATAGCAGTTTGTACTATCTGTATCTAAAAGACACAACCATAGCCACTGTATGCTAATTTGATATCAGGGCACCCTTTTTTCCCCTGTAAGCATGTCTCCCTCCTGAGGTTTCCATTCAGTTGACAAAGGGTCACTCATGCCCATGCTACCTCCTTTCTCCTATGTCTCTATAAGCCTGGTTCCTTTGTTCCTGGGTGGGAGCAGAAACCATCTGTAAAATCCAGGGATTTGTTTTTTGCTGTTTTTGATTGTTTGTTTATGTAGCCTGTATTCCTTAAGTGGACACTCAGAGTAGATGCCCTGCTTGCCCAGGCCTTTGCATGATTCCACTGAATCTTTTGCATGGGTCTAGTATGCTCCAAATATTTTAGAGTGCAATTTCTTTTCCCAGTTTATAACATTCCTTGTCAAACAATGAAGAACAAAGCTTAATCTGTTTGATTTGGGTTTTTAGGATACTTAGTAATATTATGAGTAAAAGGATCTATTAAGGAAGAATATTCCAGTAATCTGTGGTAAAGAGCTAAATCAGAACCTGACCTTAAGCACTTTCTAACAAAAGAACAGGATATAAAGCTAAGCAAATGAAGGCTTGGAATGACTGCAGTCTCTGATACCTGTGCATGAAAGGATGATTGATCTACTGTCAGAAGAGAATACATTGGGAAGACCTATATAAAAAAGTCCTTGGCAGCAAGAAGCAGGAACACGAGCAAATCTGGATAGCTGCTCAATCCATTACAATGCTGCATATTAAACGTAATTGCCTGACTTTGAAGAGCAGGAGTGTAACTAAGAAACAAAGCAGGATGTAATGACAGGGAAGGTAAGTCCATCTGAAATGTAGGATGAGATGTGTTTGAGGAAGAGTACTGGGAAAAGAAGGCACAAAAATCAAAGACAAATGCAATAGGTGTGCTGCCTGCAGGTTTTGCACTCAGCAGAATGGAATGAATGATTAATGGCTAAAGGATAGGGAGCAGGAACATGAGAGGGAGGACCTCTCCACTGGAAAAACAATGAAAGAGAGCTCTTGAAAGGAGTCTTTCAGGTATTTTCCTAGAGACTCAGATTTTCACTGAAATGAGGTGCAGTTTTGCCACTGTAGACTTCAGTAGACAAAGAATGAAAATCTGTCCTCTTGATGTTCATTATGAAAACAGTGGGAGTTTACCCTATAAAGCTATAAAATGCTGGCAATTAATGTATTCTCACATGGGATGCAAGAGTTTGTGGACAAGTATAGGACCTGAACGTTAATTTAGATTTAAGTTGAATTTAGGTATTTATTTTTACAATCTTATTCCTGAGTTCAAACTTATTTTTAATTTCAAAAAGAAATTAAGACCTTGAACCAAAACTGATAGTCTGATGAAAATTTCAAATTAGTTATTCCTTCTTGCATTGATGTCTGGAAAGAAAAAGGATTGGAGAAAATTTTAAAACAATGCAAAGGTATCTGCAGAAGTAGAAAAATACTGAAATCAGAGAATAATCACAGAGTATGAAAACAAGCGTTTGCACATTGCTTTTGCTTTTTAGATGAAGTAAGGATATGCTTAGGACTATAGGTCTTGAAATTGATAATACAAAAGAGTTTTCATTAGGTCAAACAGCCTCCAAAGCAAAACATTCTTAGCACAGAATCTTCCAAAAACTACACTGCGTGAAAATGCTTCTTTAAAAGATAGAGTAAGCTCCATACATTTCCTTGAAATATGCTCCAGCAATGAAAAAATCATACATAAATTATGCATATAATTACATTTTTTTACTAGGTATCATAATCTAGCAAATGAGGCTTAGAAATACCAGAAGGGGAAAACAAGAAAGTCAAAGTTCAAGTCTCATAATAATTTCTTCAATTCTCAATTAACATTATAATTTGCTTTTCCCTCAGCTCTTTTGTGTTTATTCATTTTATTCTTGAAAATTTGATATCATTGCTGATAGTTATGAAAATTTATTTCTTGCTGTTGTAAAAACTAACTGAATTTATTTGTTTTGTTTTAAATATAGCTTGCTTTGTTTTTAGAGGATTCAGTTTTAAAGTGTAAGTAGTATCTCTGCACTGAAAAAATCACGTTGTGTTTACTGGACACTTTCAGGCAATATAAAAACAAAAGCTTGAATCTGAAATACTTTGAAATGAAAGCTCCTACATGCATACACATCAGTTACACTAAATTCCAAGATCTGAGCTTCATGTGGTCTTAATGCCTAACAGCTATTCCTGTGCCTCAGTAATTACAGTTAAGAAACAGAATGACTATTCACTATGCATGGAAAACAGGTTCTTACCTGTGTGTAAATGGAATAGGAAGGCATCTGTAGAACACTGCCTCAGAATAGTAATTGAGATATTTACTAGTAAAATTTTACCTTTCTAAGGGCTATTGCAAGACTCAGGTGGGCTTCTAGTTTTCATCAAGTACAAGGAAATCAGTTGATCACTTCCTGGAAAGGTTCATCACGTAAGTCAATAATACTTCCTTTCCTCATGAGGGGGAAACCAAACATAAATAGTTTCTCCTGTTAAATATTTTTGCCTTATCATTCAAATCCCTTCAAATTGCTGGAGAGTAAAAGCTCTGTTTTTTTCACAGGAACAGGTGCAATAGGGACAGCTTCAGTGTAAGATCTTGTGAGAACCATAAGACTAATTTTAGAGGATATCAAATAGGTTTCTAATTAAACATGCTGAAATTCACTAAGGGCTCTGGCCTATACTACTCTCTGAAAGCACTATAACTCAGGGTACCCTTTTATACTTTTTATTAAAGTTGAATAAATAAAAATAAGCTAAACCAAGCATAATATAAAAGGAAACTACTTTTGGTGCTTCTTGCCAAAGTGAGATTAAACTATAGTTACCAAATCAAAGAAGAATCCATATAGCAGTGAGTTTATATTGCATTATCATCAGAGCATGTTAGTCAAGGC